GAGAGGACAAGAGGAACGAGATGGAAGATGAGGAAGAGCCAGATGGGGAAGAACAAGATGAGGAAGAGCCAGATGAGAGAGAAGGAGATGGGAGAGGAGCTGATAGGGGAAAGAACTAGATAGATGAGAACCTAGAGCGGACAGTAGACAAATATAGAGAAATCGGGCAAGGAAGGAGCTAGACATGAGAGCAGAATAGAAACTGTGTAGAGAGAGAACTATCACAGAATAATAATAAAGTGTATGAACTAAGGACTTTTGTGTACATAGATTTATTTCTTTTCTTCAAAGATTAATTATCAGCTGGTTGTAGATTCTTCCCGGACCCTGGGAGGGGACTATCTAGGGGCTGGACTCCCATAGTCCCCGATAGGGTCTCTGCATCTCTTTCCATCTGCTGCCAGAGGAAGCCTCTCTGATGGTGACTGGATAGAGCACTGATAGGAGTCATTTTAATGAATTTTTTCTTCTTTTTTCAGACACCAGTAGTGTTTTGTTTTACCCCAGGCCTCTCAGCTAGCTAGTTTCTAGATCTTGGTCACTCATGCAGTGTTGGGTATCAGTTTTGTCTCATGGGGTGGGCTTGTCTCAGGTCCAATCAGACAGTGATGCTGCTCCCACAAGTTCTGTGCTACTGTTGCCCAGGATATCTTATGGGCAGGACAGACTGTAGCTCTTTAAAAATCTACCGACCCATCCGATTCTGGGCCAGCTCATGCTCTGGTTCTGCCTCAGTGCCTTTGCACTGTTGCTCTACCTGAGAAGATTTTCCTCCTCGTTTTCCTTTCTTTTCTTTCTTTCTTCTTTTTTTTTTTTTAAAACATGGCCAGGGATTGAACCCAGGGCCCCATAATTGCTCTTCCACAGAGCCACACCCTGAATGCCCTCAAGAAAAGCACAGCCTTCTCCTTGCTGCCATTTAGTTCTTAGTTAACAACGCCTGTCCTTTGCAGAAAAGTATAGATGGACTTTTCTGTTCTACTAGCTGCTCCCCAAATAACCACACAAAGATTTAGTATTATTATAAACGCTCAGCCGATAGCTTAGGCTTGTTTTTAGATAGCTGTTATAACTTGGAATAACCCACTTCTATGAATCTATGTGCTGCCCCGAGGCTCATTTACCTCATGTACGTACCTCTCATCCTGCTCTCTCTGTATCTCATGGCAACTCCTCAGACTATGCTCTTCTTCCCAGCATCCTCCTAGTATGGCTCTCTTGCCCAATCTCTTCCTACCTAGCTATTGGCCAGTCATTATTATTAATTATTATTATCCAGTGAGAGTAATACACAGGTAGTGTACAAAGATTGTTCCACAGCAGAAAGGCTCCCCCTAGGATCAACTCTCTTCTTTCTGTCATGCTTGTCCCTTGCTAACTCCAGTGACAGTCACTAAGTTTCCAGCGGGCTCATATTACCCTCACACAAAGCAAGCTTCATACCCCAGCATGGAGACTAGAATCATAGGCTCTGCGATGATATGACCGTCAGATGCGAGGGGAAGGAATCTTTGCGGTCAGTTCCCCCAAGTCCTAGCTGATGGAGACTCTTGTACTCCTTAATCTGGGGTGGGTTTGTCTGTCTGTGACGTTAGGGAGGGCCAGTTAGCAAAGGTGACCACTGTGCCATTGCTACAGACTGGATTTTGACGGTGAGTAGAATTATCTCTAGTTTAACGGGAGTCTAAGCAGGTCCATGTCGAAAAGGAAAAGTTCACCTGTCTCTTGCAAGTGCACAGAAACTCACAATCCTCAGTAGACAGTTTACCCAGGGCCACCACAGACAAGGGCATGGACTGTTGGGACTTGCTTTTCAGACCTCAGCCTACCAACTCTTCAATTCTTTGGGGTGGAAGTCGGGCACCCAGTTAAACTTGGGCTTCAGATAAACTTTATACATATTTGGAAGCAGGTCTCACTATATAGCCCAAGCTGGCCTTGTACTTGTGATCTTCTTACCTCAATGACCCAAAGGGCTATTACTGTAGGCATGAGCCACCATGCCTTGCTCAAAAAATAGAATTCTTTACTGTGACTTTATCCCAACAACATGTGAGACATTTAAACAATTTTTGATATGTTTTTTAAATAACATTTTATTAAAAACTTCATATATTTTGATCATATTCTTCTGCACCTCCTCCTAGACTCACCCTCCCACTCTTACCTCCCTACCCACCCAAATTTGAGTTCTCCTCCCCCTCTTCCTCCTCATCTTTACCTATGGAGTACAGTTTGGGTTGCCCAACTACTCTTGGGAGTGGACTCTGCCCTAGAGTGTGGTCACTCTATCAGGGTCAACACCATTAATGGGATCTCACGCTCTCTCTCTTGCAGCTATCAAATGCCTCGGCTGGTGGTGAGCTTTGTCTGATGTGAGTAGGTCTGCAAGGGCAGAGTGTGACATGCAAGTTGCATTTAGGGCTGAGCACTCCATGACTAAGGCATTTTTAGAGTAAGGGAAAAAAAAGATTACATTAGATGTATGACAAGAATACTTGTTTATGTGAAATAGAATACTTGTTTATGTGAAATGCAAGTTTACCTGGACACCCACTAGGCAACTTAAAAATGAATGGCTTCCCTGGGGTAAAGTGTTGGGTCTGGGAAAACACAGACCACCAAAAACTGTGTGTGTGTGTGTGTGTGTGTGTGTGTGTGTGTGTGT